GAACGGGTCCCAGTCACCATCCTCACCTGGAGCGGGCGCCCGGGCAGGGGCTGTGGTGCTGGGCTGGCTCAGCCCATCGACTTCCCACTTCTCAGTGCCTCCAGAATGAATATGGATGCACATCTGCGTCTGCTTGGGTGGAACAAATTGTTAGAGACTGTGTTAAATTATCCCAAAATGTCTCCAGTGCTGACATTTCAGCTGCCCTGGGCACCGACCTGGACCTGCCAGGGGGACATTTCATTGCCTGGAAGAAAAGTGCTGCAGACTTTTAATTTTCCATCAGTAGTGAGCAGGCAACATCCTCCACAGCCACCTTCTCCTGAAGAAGGCCTGGAGAGCAGCCATTCTGCAGGAGATGGGGGCTGCCCCCAAGACCCCTCTCCAGGCACAGGAACACCACGTTGGCTTGGGGGACTGCAGGGAAACTGAGGCACTGGAAACTTCCCACTCCCTGTGCATGCAGCACCCAAACCAGGAGCTCGGTGCCTCAGCACCTTGCCCTAACGGCCAGATAACACATCTAAAATGTGTTTATTTCCATCCAGGCTGCTTTTTAATTTGATTATTTATCTCCCGTTTAGCCTTTGACAGATCAAAGGCTCAGCAGAGGGGAAGCAGAGCTGGGCTGCGCATGAAAATGAGCCTTGATACATAATTAATTAACATAAAACTGTTTCATTAGGGGCTGCTGTTACACGACTGTTTGTCTTAAAAATTTAAGCTGTGTAAAGAGCACAGGGACAGAGCAACTTCCTGACCTGACCCTGTTTTCGTCCATCCCTGGCTCCTGCATCCTCCTGGGAGCACAACCCTGGGCCGGGGCTTGGCCCCCTCCTCTTTAATTGCATGCAATGTCTCCTACCTTGATTATTAATCTGTTTTTAATTCTATTAAGAGATGGCCAGGAGAAAGAGTATCAATTTTAGATTAACAAGGTTATTAGCACTTAATTATGTGAGGTGTCTTTGTAATTGAAAAGGAAAAGAGGAAGCGCCATAAATATCCCCAGCCCCTGAGCTCCTGGGGGTTTGTGGGTGGCTCTTTATTCACAAGGCTGTGGAACCATAAATATTAAATATCTTTCAAGAAAAAAATTACAAGGCAGAAAGAGGATGCCCTCTGGATATTCCAGCACCAAATGTTCTTGCATTTACAAATATTCATTAACTGGGATCTGCAAAGTTATTTCCACCAAGACTCGGTGAACGAGCAAGTGAGAGAGAGGTTATTGAAAAAAATAGAGTCTAGAGTAAATATTATTAGTAATTTTTATCTCTGTGTGTCCCTAATTATGGAATAATTAGGAAAAGTGCACATCTGCATATACAATCACTAACCTGTCAGTCTCTGGGATTTTTGTTCCCAGTCCTGCTGCAGGATGGAGCACCAGGAATGTGTTTTCCCCCTGAACGCAGTGGAGCCACCTGTGCCCCCAGGGACCAGGACAGCACTGGCCCCCAGTACACCCCCCAGGAGCCTGGGACACCCAGTGTAGCCACCAGGCTCTGCGGAGCACCTGGAGACATCACTAGTTGAGAAAAACTAAAATTACAAATCTTGTGCTCTTTTTAATTAAAAAAAACTATAGATCTCAGCAGGGAAGTGGTGCAGGAACACGTCACTTGCCAGAACCTGCCCTGCTGGAGGTATTTGGAGACACCAAGAGCCAGGTGTTAGGGAGAAGCCACAAACACCCTCACCAGGACATGGACAAGGTGCTGTGGAGCAGGTGGAATCCAGCAGCCCCTCTTTGTCCCCCTCCAAGGGTCACCTCCCCAGCCAGCCCCACAGCCACCAGCAAACCCTCCCACCAGCAGGCAGGGGGCAGGCGGTGTCACCTTCCAGGAATCAGGCTCTTCCTCCCAACTCAACATGTTACCAATGAGCTCATCAACAAAAATCTAATTATTATGTGTGAGGCCAAGCTTAATTGCTTGTCCTTGACATGAATAATGCACCATGTAAGCCTATTAGCCAGTGTAAGCCTATTATTGTTATTATCGTGCTCACTGTCAAAAGTATAAAAGTAAAACAGTTGAACAGGGGGAAAAAAAATAATGTTGTGCAATTAGCAGCAAAATACCAGACAAATAAGCTCATTAATTGTTCGAGGGAGCAAGCACCACCAGCCATTGGCAAGTGGCCATTTGGGGGCTGCTCAGGGTGAGGCCTGTCCCTGCCTGCTGGGACACCAGGAGGAACACAGAAGCAGGGTCTGTGGCAGCCCCAAAAAGGAGGAAACTGGCTCCAAAAGCAGCTTCTCCACCAAGTCTTGGAGTACAGAGGTTGGAGTTGGACTCCCAGCACCCAGGTGACATCAGATGACATCCCTCTGCCAGTGCCTGAAACCAGGCCCTGGCCTCCAGCCTCCCCCCGAAACCCCGCTCGGCTCCTTGGCATCGTTTGCTAATTAAATCCTGCTAATGAGAATGAGGATGCAGGAGCTGGCTGAGCAGCCCTGCCTCCTGCACACACACTCCTCCCAGACTTATCACTAGTCACAGGATGTTTACAATAATTTTTAATTTGTGCAATTATTAATCATTTTTCTATCTGCCTAATTTGCATAATAATTACTCTGCTCAGTCTTTGCCATGACTGTGAATGACAGTGTTTTAAATTAAATTAAGATTTTAATATTCATTTTTTTTGGTTAAGGCTAATCAAAGCTGCTGCTCGATGCCAAGCCCGTGGCTGCTGCCCTTCCAGAAACACTAATAAAGAGATGGGCTCCCGGTGTCATTCCTTTATCTCCATCACTCCTCTCCTCCCAGAGAATCCTGCAGCATTTTCCAGCTGCTCTACTGCCAGAACCTAATACTTGCTGACACCCACCAAGGCAACAATGTAGGATGGATGTTGAAATATTAAAATGGCATCATCTAACCTCTCCTCAGCTCCTTCTTGTGCAGATGTATCTTAAGACAAAAGTTCCTGATTACAAACAGAGGAGTCCTGTATAAACCTGGGAGTGCAATGAGCATGGGTAAGAGGTCCCTGGGGCAATGAGCATGGGTAGGAGGTCCCTGGGGCAATGAGCATGGGTAGGATGTCCCTGGGGTAGCACCTCTATCTAGAAGTCCTACAACTACAGCTTTCAAATTAAGTTCCAAGAGCAGAAGTTGATGCTGTTTTCAGGTAGTCCCATAAAACAGTGATTAGCACCAGCACTAAAAGGGCTTTGCCTCCCTTAGCAGCAGCTCATAACCTCAACTTTCAGGTGGGCAAGGCACCTCCTGCTCTTCTCCTGTTCTGTAAGACAAGAACATTCTCACCCAGAGACTTCCCATGTCCAAGCATCTAGCCAAGCATCAGCTCTCCACAGAAAGGTCAGCTCAATAATTCCACAGTTGTTGGGGTTTTTTTACGTCTGCAGAAGCACTTGGGTAAGTGAGAGCAAAAATGAGTATGTGTCAAGTGCAACTATACTCTTCAAGGCTGCAGCAGCCTGAAGTCACAGGAGAAAAAAATGCAGGACCTTGGTGACAGAGGGGACAGAACAACTGGAGAGCAGAGCAGCACTCAGCGTGCTCCAGCAGCGCACAGTGCCCACCAAACTACTTTCCTGCCTGACAGCCTGAGACAGGGCCCACTTCACCCACTGCCCCATCCACACAGGCAGCAGTGTCAGGGCCCAGAGAGCTCCCACTCAGAGCCTGGACAGTTCCCAACAGCCTTTGGGAAAGACGTTTGCAAAGCACAGTTCGTTTGGCAGAGGGCAGCACGGCAGACGGCACCACAGGCCTTCCTGTGGCAGTGACTCACCCTGCTCCTCCCTGCCTTAGAAAAAACACCACCACACAAAATCCAGTAAAAAACAAGAAAAGCTGTTATTTACACATGTACACACAGGTCCCAGGACTGTTGGAAATCTAACACAGTGAATAAAAAAACAAACAGGAAGAAGTCCCATGGTTGTCCCACTCCAGAGCAGACTCTGTCATTCTCCTTCTCACTCACAGCCTGAGAGCCACGGCAGAGCCAGGGCCCCGACCACCACTAAAGACACATCTCCATGGAAACTGCTGCCTGCATTTCATACCTGCTCCCTGGGATGTCAAGGAGAACAACTGTATTTATTTCCACAAGTGCTTTCTCGCACACAGGGATTAAGGGAAGCTCTCTGCCTGGCCTCCAGCCCCAGCCTGACAGCTCTCAGCAAAGCGCAGAGCCAGTCCCTGGCACGGCTGCCTCGGGGAACAAGATCCCACCAAACGGTGAGGAGAGGCAATTTAAACACCCTCCGTGTGTTTACTGCCACAAGAAAGTGACCCCTGGAGAGTTGCAGGGGCTCCTGAAGGGCTTGCTGTCAAACACAGCACAGCAAGCTGGTCCCTCAGCCTCCTGCAGGAGGACACAGGACACACAGCCTCCCACACAGACTGGGCTAGGAGCTGAGCTTTACCAAGTGCTTACACCAACCAGAGGGCGGGATCACACCACCAGCTTCACAGCAGCCCTTTGGCTGCACTGGGAAGGAGACAGGGAGGGCCCAGCATCAGCCTGCAGGCAGATCAGCTCCCAGCACCGAGTGGTTTCAGGGAATTGTTGCTCTCTGGAAGAACTCAAACACAACTGAAACTGCAGGTCAGTTCTAGAGCAAACCTCCTGGAGCAGGTGAGCTCTCCAGCACCCCAGTGCTCAGCATACTTCTACCACAAAGAAAAACCTGAGATTTAGACACCTGAAAACTTGTGAACTGCCCTCGAAGGACAAAACATTTGGCATAAAACAAGTAAGCATGTATTTTCTAGTTTGTTAGAAAACAAATAAATGGACCAGAATCCAGTATCATCAGCACCAGGTGGGGGAGCTGAGAACTCCAGTTGGCAGCAGCCACCCTACTGTGCTCCAGGCTCAGCCATGACTCTGCTCCATGGGGCACCAGGGCAGTTGTGTGCTCGTCCTGTCTGGCTGTCAGGGAACCCCTCCCTCAGCAGCTCTGCTGCACCAGCCCTGGCAGCAGCTGAACCTCTGCAGCAGGAGTCTCATCTTCTCTACATGTCCTCCACGCTCCACTTGTAGGCCAGCTCCTGAACGGCCTTCCTGTTGGCTATCCTGGCAAAGTGCTGCTGCTCGAAGCCGTTGGACCTACAAAGGGACACCAAGACTGTGTGGGCTGCTCTGAAGCAATGAAACTTTTCAGAGAGATGACAAGTTTTCCACTGCTCTTCCTCTGGCTGTTTCCCCCTGATCTGTGGTGAGCAGCAGTGAGTGGCTCAGCCAGTGTCATCCCACCCATCCCAAGCAGTGGGTCTTGCCCTGCCTGCTGCTGGGTTTGAGCTGCAGCTGCTCACAGCCCTGCTGACAGCAACAGCCTTCCTCCCTCCTGCCCCAGACAAGCTGACATATTCATAACCCATTTGTAAGTTCACATGTTCAGCCTTCCTATTGCTGACCATCTCATCCATCTGGTAACTGGGAAGGAATCTCTACCCTGTGAACTCTTGGAAGCCAAAGCTCCCTTATCATCACTCTGTCAGCAACACAAACCTGTCCACGCCATCCCAGCGATGCCCAGGCCATATATTAAACCTGTTGAGTGGAGGGGCTGGTCCATTGTACCGGGGTTTTTCTAGAAACAGAAAGAGCAACACAGCTGCTTAGGGCTTCAGCACAGTCACATTGTCACCATCAACCCCAGAGGTGTGTACAGGCACCACTCGTGGTGCAACAGCTCACAGAGCAAGCTGCCAGAGACAAAATCAAGCAAACTGGTGCCTGTTGGGGTTTATAGAATCATAAAGGTTGGAAGGCTTCTCAAAGATCATCAAGTTCCAACCCCCCTGCCATGAGCAGGGAGCCCTCCCACTAGACCAGGTTGCACAAAACCTCATTCAACCTGGCCTTAAAAACCTCCAGGGAAGGGGCATCAACAGCCTCCCTGGACAACCCATTCCAGTTCCTCACCACCCTTAGAGTGAAAAATTTTTTCCTAATACCTAACCCAAATCTCCCCTTTCTCAGTTTAAAACCATTTTTAAATCACCAGATCCTGCTTCTCTGAGCTAACAAATAACAGTAACTGTCACTGGCAAGAAGTAACTACTGCTCCAACACTGCCTCCAGAGAAGCAGGCCTGTAGGACTCCTCTGACAGTCTCAGGCCATTTATTTACCAGCAGCTGCATTTCCACTCTGCTGGGGCCTTAAACCATACATGGGTTTAACTCAGCATCCAAACCTTTCTTTTCTTTGTTCTCTTTGGCCTTCCTTTTCTTGATGAGGTCAGCCATGGGGTCCCCTTCTCTCTCTTGTTCTCTCAGCATTCTATCCAGGTCCTGGTCATCAATATAACGAGCCAGGGGCTTCTGCATCTCTTTAATTGCATCTTCCACGTTCTGCTGTTGCTGCCTCCCCTGCGCCAGCCTGCACACAAACACAAAGGGTCGCTCCAAAATCCAGCCATGATCTGCTGCCCCTGGCAGGATCAGAGTTCCAAACTGTGTGTGTGCAGCATTCTCAACACACATCCAGCAAGGGAGGAAACAACAGAGGTGTCTCTGAGACAGGTGGGACACGTGCTGCCCTGATCCCAGGCTCACACTCAGAACAAAGGGATGCGCCGCTAATGCCACCATGGGAAGTGGCATCAAAACTGGGCTAAGAAGTGGGGATTGGAGAGTCCCAAACTATAGGGAGAGGCCCACAGACCCTGCAGGGAGAAGCTTACCCCTTTCCCCACTTGGCATACTGCTCATCCCTCTCAGACTTGGCCTCTTCTTTCTTCCTCTGCTCCAGCCGCTCCTGCGCCAGGTCCCGCTTGCGGCCCGACTTGTCTCGGAAGACGGTCTCAGAGTGCCTGGATTCCTCTGGAGGGGGCAGAGGCCTCAAGTCACACATTTTGGAACATTTTGCCATCTCCAGACAATTCAACAACTGTGAATAATTTCTACATTTCTTTCCTTTTACTTGTTAGAGCCTCTGGAACTGCTGATCGTGCCAAACCAGGCAGGCCCAGAGCTCCTGCTGTTCGCTGCCGCCCCGCGCAGCCAGGCTCGTGCCCCCCAGGCTGGGTACCCCCCTGCTGCTTCAGTCTGGCAGATGGAGCAGGGAGACAAATAGCCTCACACCCCCCCTGTGATTTCACTGGCACTGCTCTGAAATCACTGTTTGTAAGTCTGTTACTCCAGAGGCTCAGTGCCCCTGCCCAAGGAATCCATCAGCACGCCCAGAGGCTGCTCCACAGGGATGCTCTCCAACACCAGGGCCTGAGCATTAGGAGACAGCTGAGAGGAGGAGAGGAGCTGAGAGCCAGTGCTCCTGCAGTGTTTTTACACCCTTACCTTCCAAGTGCTTGTTATTTCTCTCCTGCCTTCTGAGCTCCTGCTGTTCCCTCCGCAGCACATCAGCTGACACCAGGCCAGCTTTAACCCCCGAGAACATCACGTTTGCCTGCAAATCAAACAACAATCACATTTCCTGCCAACTGTGAGCTGTCCAGTGATTCAGGGACAGCCTGGAAGGAAGAGGGATGGGTCAGCAGAAACAGCCATGTTACAGAGCCACTTGGCCAGCATCCTTCAGCAACAGTTCCTCCAGAAACTGAGGAGCAGACTAGAGCTGCTCCCTGATGCCCACCTCACACCCAGCAGAGGGCCTGGCATGGGCCTGTACATGAAGTATTCTCTCCTGCCTTCTGAGCTCCTGCTGTTCCCTCCGCAGCACATCAGCTGACACCAGGCCAGCTTTAACCCCCGAGAACATCACATTTGCCTTCTTGGGAGATCCCTTAGCATCCCGGTGCCGAGGAGGAGAGAGGTCAGGGGGGCTCCTGGAACTGTGCTGCTCCCTGCCAGCTGGCAGAGCCCACCGTGGAGGGGACAGGTCAGAGTCTGGAGACCTGCTGCGATTCCCTTTGAGAGGAGCAGGCTTTGGGGAATCACTGTGTCCATGGCCTGGCCCCTGGGCTGCATCCCAGGCCGCCCGGGAACCCCTCCGTGGGGACGGAGAGCGGGAGTCGCGCCTCGGGCACCTCTGAGGGGAGGACACGGGTCTCAGCTTCTTTGTGGCTGGAGAAGCATCTGCAGGAAAGACATAATTAAACATCAGGGAATCAGGCAGAATCAGTCCCACGGAAGGACTAGATGTGGCATTGTCAACTCTTAAAAAAAATCAACCCCTTAAGAGATTACAGACGGTTGGGAAAAGACCAGGACATGACAAGAGCCCATGAATTCTCTGGATGTGCACTGACCAGGGACAGGGTGCAGCCCTGCTCTCCTTCCAGACACACTTCAGTCTCAGCTAGCTAACTCAGGTTAACTGTAGTCCAAGTGAGAAAACAGAAGGACTACTGGAGCTACCCTTACCAACAGAAATGTCAACATATCCATGGCCATTCCATGGCTGCACACTACTAATCCCATGCCTATTGCTTCCCAGGAGCGTCCACGCAAGCTCCCAGCACAGGACAGGCAGGGCAATCTGAGGCACACCCACCTTTTGTTCTGCTCTGCCTTTTCATTCCAGGTGACCCTGTCCTCTTCCTTGCAGGTGGTGACACATCTGGGTCGGAATCGTGTCTCTTCTTCCGCGGGGGAGACAGGTCAGGGGTGGGCAGGCGCTTCTGGCGCCACGAGGACCTGTCAGAGGCACCACGTTGGAGCTGGGACTGCTCCCCTGGGACACCCCTGGGCTGACACTGCTCCGTGCTTTTCCAGCCCTTTTTCCCCACTGCTGAACTGGCTCTTTTTGGAGAGACATCAGGAGAGTCGTGGCGCTGCCGCCTGGGAGGCGACAGGTCCGGAGAGTCGTGGCGCTTCCGTCTGGGAGGAGAGAGATCCAGGGAGACATTTGGCTTCCTTCTGGGTGGGGAGAGGTCTGGGGAGTCGTGGCGCTGCCTCCTGGGAGGCAGGAGGTTGGGGGAAACGTTCCTCTCCCTCCTGGGAGGGGACAGATCCGGGGAGTCGTGGCGCTGCGTGTCCGGGGAGTCGTGGCGCTGCCGCCTGCAGGAGAGAGGGATGTGGAAACTGGGAGCTCGGCCTGGTTTGCTTTGCTGCCTCCTGGCTAGAAACAAACCCCAGGTGGGACCTGCCCAGCCAGCTGCAGAGATTCAAGGATGAAAACAACTTTCCAAACGCACATTCACACTTGATTCTGCACCCCCCTGCAGGGAAACGCTTCACTGAGCCAGACGTTCCCAAGGCAGATCCCAGAAACCCCCCAAGGCAACCCACATCCCAGGAAGCTGGAGTCCCCAAGGCCTCCTCGGACCCTCAGACTGCAACTCCCTAGATAGTCACCTTCTCTCAAGGCAGCTGTGTGACTTGTGACACCCCTGTCCTCACCACGCTCCTTGCAGGCCCCTCTAAGTACTGGGAGATGCTTTAAAGTCTCCCTGGAGCCTTCTCCAGGCTGAACACACCCAACTCCCTCAACCTATCCCTGCAGGAGAGATGCTCCATCCCCCTGATCACCTTCCCAGCCCTCCTCTGGACCTGCTCCAACAGCTCCTGTGCTGAGATGCAGGATCTGCCAGGGAGAGATTTTTGAACAGAGGAAAAAGAATCCCTGCATGTGCCACTTCCCACACTTCCCACCAAAGCACCTGGAAGCTGCAGAATAAAAGAGGCAACCCCAGGAAAGGAGGGGACAGAAGAACTTGCAGTTGGAGCCTCGTACCTCAGGGTAGACGTGGCAGGTACTGAAACATCTGAACTCTGGGAGTCTTCATTCTGGTCTAAAGAAAAACAATCACAGGTTCACCATCCTCAGGCCTCTTCAGAGCCTGTGATCTCTTCAGCATTTCAATTGTTATTTTTACCTTACTACATCACTGTTCAGAGCAATTAAACATTCAGGAAGGGGGAGAAGGTTTTGCCCTCACCTCCTAAGAGCTTCCATTTAGCATTTGTCCTGAATTCCTCCATGAGCTTCACCTCATCCGGACGCTCATCGATGAATTCTGCCACCTGGAGATGAAACCAGAGTAACCAACACAGCCCCAGGGGGAGAGAAGGAAAGAACCCCCATCCTTTTAACACAAATAACTGACATAAACCCCCTCCCCTAAACACTCACCACAGGCATGTCAGCTTCGTCCTCCTCCTCCTCCTTCTCCTGGGTGACTGCGATGCTGTTCCAGCTGACATCGTCATCCACGATCCGGATCCTGGGAACAGGGAGAGGGGCCC